GGAATTTTCAATAAAGATTCATAAAAAGAAGTATTGTAAGAATACCAATCACGTTAACGCAAAACCCATACCAACTTTTATTATACATAGTTTGATGTACTTGTAAATCAAATTTCATGCGTGCACGTCAATTTTTGTAGGAGGAGTAGCATTTTAAAATCACTTCAAAAATTTGAAGTTTTCTCCTTAAGAAATTACATGGCTAGCTTTTTATGAAATTTTGAGTACAAAATATGTTTAACATAGTATGCATGCATAGGAGGCAACCAAAAAAATATTAAAAATCCTTAAATTAAAAATGTTTGCGTAAATCGTAACATGTTCCCTTAAGAATTTTTTTTTTTTACTTTTTAGTTCGATTCACTATAAAAACGGGTTTTTTAGTTTTTTTTAACCATCACTTAATTTTTTCATTTTTTAGTTCTACAGTAAAATCATGTATATTTAATTTTTTCAACTATAATTTTTTCATACCCCCTTTTTTTTAATTCTTGATCCGCTACCGAAAAGATTTACCCATTCCTGCGTTAGAACAAATTATTTGTTTTCACAAGCACGAGTCTTTTTTTTTTTAATTTCCATTTTCAAAAAGACTAGACATTTGATTATATATAAGAAATTGCTGACGCAAGAAAAAAACTGTTTTTGCTTTTAGGGTTACTCTTAATCTTTTAGTCACCAATTCTGGAAATGGGTTCTGAAGTTAGTCACCAAATATGAAAATGGTATAATGAATTAGTCACCAAATCATTATACCATTCCTGATTATACTGTTCAGGATAATGGAACAAAATTATGAAATTATTGTATTGTCATCGGTCATTGACAAGTGAACAAAATTTCGAATTAATCTGACATTTTGAAGTGGGTAAAAAGTTTCAAAGATTCCATTACATACAAGTGAAACTTATAAAATCGTGTTAATAATAAGGAGAGATAGACACCCCAGTCAGCTACGTGAAAAACAAGTTAACGCAATTTTTCCTTTTACAATTTATTAAATATAGGACTCTATGTTAATGGTTTGTTTGTGCAATAGATTTGTATGTATGTTGTCAATAGAATTTCCTTCCAAAAGTTCTTATTTTCACCTTAAAATCCTTCCCTTACCCTCACGAAAACGTACTACAGTTTGATAATCTGAGGTTAAATTAAGTCATTAAAATGTTTCAGATTTTAATATTTATTTTTCACAGAAGAAAACCTACAGTTCATGGTACACATATTACATACGGTAGAACTTATTTTTGTGAGTTTTTTTATGCAAATTTGTTTTGTGTGTTTTTATTATTGTACGATCTTTTTCTTATGCGATATATGAATTTCACCTGCTTTGTTGCCACTGTAATGTTTTCTATCAATGTACCAGTGGCGTTACGGAGAATTTTACGCCCCCCCCCCGGGCCAAGTCAGGTTTTGCCTGTAATATTTTATAAATTGGGTAAATACGTACGTGGATTTAGGCCTTGCTTCCCTCCCTGAGAGGCGAAGGTTGTGTTAGTGTACGTTGCACCACTGCAATGTACATATATGCACTTCAAGACGCACTGTTTATTTGTTATAAAAAGTCCCCCGACAATGCACGTTCAGTTGCTTTCTCTTCCGCAACAACAGCGCGTACTTGTTTGAAGACGAAAGTTTCAATGGCAGTGACATTATCAACAATTTTATAGATTATGAAGACGGACACACACACACACACAAGAAGAACCGGATTCTTTGAGTACTGATAAAATAAATGCAAGAATACAACTTTCTAACAAATTGGAAAAGTATTTTCTTACACTAAATACCAATTCCGAAATGAGTATGAAATTTCCAAAAGAGCTTCGATCATGCATATCTGGTTATCGTGACATTTACAAGCCACTGACCAACCTTCTTTTTCGCAATAATTCTTATCTCTTACTTTATGGTGCCAAAAACGAAATCCATTGAAATTATACCTTCAAGTGAGGAAAGTGACTTTGAACTTATTCATCACAGGAAGATGAGCGCTTTGAATTACTATGAGTAGCAGTGGATTATGTATGTGCATTTTGTGTGAAACTTCTCCATGTATACAATGAGAAACTAAATGTTTTTAGAATGTGTCCATGTGTAATTTAATTATTTTTGTTTGGTTATGGACAACTTTTTTATGCATTCCCTCTCCACCGCCATAAAAAAATTATGTGTTATATTTCGACGAAGTTGTTTGTTATATGTAAGAATTTATGAAATATGTATTTTCGAAATTTTTTTAATGCGATCCCTATCTACCTCACAAAAACAGGTTTTAATACACTATGTGCAGTCATAGGCAACGTATATAAAAAGGCAAACAAAATTTTGATTGTTTGGTTTGTAATCATCATACTAAAACAAAAATGTAATGGAATTAGATGTGGTTAGCTCTAAGATAGCAACCTGCTCTCTCTATATATGCCATGTTTACGTGAGTATTTAGATCCGCAAAATATACAAATTAAACAGCCTTCTTATAATGAAATCAGTACTTGTGAACATGCAATTCATTTGTGAAGTAATAATCTAAAAATGTTTCAATTAACGAGTTTTGAGAAAAACACTACATGTAATCAGACGCGAAAAAAATAATTGTACACAATAAATTGCATACAAAAAATATACACATTGTAAAAAATTATTAATAAGTCCTAATTGGAAATTTTGGACATCCCAAGTCAGCAAAATAATATTTTTAATGAACAAGCTACGTAGCAACAAAGCTCTGAATTAATATGTATTGTAAAAAGAGCATATATATTTTGAAATACTATACATCAGAACAAAAAGTAATAGCACAAGAGGGAATAAAGTTCAGCACGTTTTTTACATCTTCAGTGTATTAAGTTAAAAAACAACTCAAAATAATAGAATCTTGATCCTTTTCAATAACAAAAAATATTAAATAGTTATTATCATTATCTCTGGTTAGTTTTATAGGGTCTGGTTTTATAGTTTAGTGTATGTAACCAAAATTCAGTCACTAAGGAATTTTTGTATTTTATGACTTCGTGATATAACAGCAGTAACTGTATTTCTTCTTTATACTAAATTTAAGAGCTTTGTATTAACAAGTAATATAAAAAAAAATTAAGTCAATTCCTACTAAAATCAACAGTTTTTTTTAGTTACTTTTTGCTAAACATCATAATATATATATATATATATATATATATATATATGAGTCAGAATCACACTGTTAAGTGACAATACAGAAAGTGATTTTCCTTGCAGTTTTCCATTTTCCTTTCTATATATGGTGTTGGACTATTATTTTTGTTTGTTACTATTTCTTCATTACTTAAATTAAATTTTTCAAGTAAAATAGTTTAGTAAAAATAAATCATATTCTCATAAATTAGGTCATCCCGATTGGGATTCGAACCCACGACCCTTGGATTTGTCCATTTCGCTACAGGGACACAACGAGAGATTTACCTTTTTATATATGGTGTTGGACTATTACTTTTGTTTTATACTATTAATTCATTAAGTTGAACTAATGGATTAGTATTTGAAAAACCCTTATTAACATCAAGTGCATTAACCACTACAAGTTAAAAAAAATGTATTTGAACTAATAAAAAGAGATAAATATGATATAAATGAGATAAAATGAGATAAATAGAAAGTATTTTTATTAACGATTGAAAATTTGAACAAGATATATAGGGAGAATGTGAACATATAGAAGGAATTAAAAAAAGATTGTTCTAATATAAAGATCTGTGAAAGGAAATGATATTTATAACGTTTCTATATCAAATAATAGTAAAAAACTATTATCCAATTTGCTTTATCATGCAATACAATATCAAACGTAACTAAAAGTCACTTATTCTATAATATCCTCTCTCATGCAAAATTTCTAAAACAGATTACATTCAATGCATTGTCAAATAAGGGAAAATAGAATTCTCAGTTTTCCAATGTTTCGATAAGAAAAAGTAAGATTAAAGTTAAAAAGGGAGAAACATATAAATGGGAGTCTATTTTCAGTTGTTTCCAATCCTCAGCAAAATGTCCAAAATGCCTGTTTCCGGAAGGCAACTGTGAGACGCAAACAATAAATAACACTCTATTTTTTGCAACCTAACACTTCCTGTTTATTTTTTCTACATTTATTTGCTAGTCAGCTGCTTGGAATTGGAATTCTACTCGAAGAAGGATGAATGAATTTAGAGAATTTTATTTCGCTATCTGCGCAATTTCTCACGAAGAAAGTTGTTTAAGAACACACATTAGCCCTAAGAAAAGCTATTTTCAACTGAAATGTGTTCTGTTGAGTTGTATCAAGCGGGAGATATGTGATGAAACACGAATTATATATATATATATAACATGTAATTCATAAGCTGTTTAAAACCTTTTTTTAAAAAAAAAATAACGAATTGACAATATAGTTTTCTTAGGCCACATTTTTTAAAACGTTATTTTAATTCTAATCGTCAGAAATCCTTAAAAAAAAAGAAAGAAAGAAACCATAAAAGGTAGATAGAATTTAGCTGTTTATTTGACATACATTAATTCTGAAATGAAGGTTATTTGTTTTGTATACATTGTTACAAATATATATGACCCTCGGCTTCAAACCGAGTGCGTTCGGGTTCGCATCCCGAATGAGGCAAGGTTATATTTTTCTCGGGAAAAGAAGTCGGACTTTCGCCTGTAATGGATTCCCGTCTCGAATGGAAAGCAGCGCACCCCTTCTTGTTCTATGCTGGGATCATCATCTGTAACAAATGACTATATTCTTCTGTTTGTATTGTATGTCTCTGTTTTTCCACTTGTGTGTATTTCATATGTGTCCTAGGATAAAAACCACACAACAAAAACAAGTTCAAATACATTTTTTAAACTTGTAGTGGAGGAAACTTCATGTTAATACAGTTTTTCAAATATTAATTCATTAATTAATATTAAAAAATGAATAAATAGTAACAAAGAAAAATAATAGTCCAAGAGCACATATAGAAAGGAAAATCGTTCGTTGTGTCCCTGTAGCGCAATAAATAGCGCATTGGACTTCTAATCCGAAGTTCGTATTTTCGAATTCAACCTGGGATGACCTAATTTCTGAGAAAGTGATTTCTTTCTACTGCACTATTTTATGAGAATAGTTAAATTTAAGGAATGAATAAATAATAACAAACAAACAAAAATAGTCCAACATCATATATAGAGGGGAAAATGGAAAATTGCAAGGAGAATCGTTTCTGTTTGATCTCAGACATAGGGCCATCAGTCTTGGTCTTGAAGATGGATGGGTTGAAAAAGAAGAAATACGAGATCAAATCGCAAATGCTATTCATTTTGAAGCTACTTTGAATTATTTTCTACGAACTGAATTTATCACCGACGACGTTTTCAAAAAAGGAATTTTTCATATTAATAGGCACACAATTAGAGTGTCGCAGGAGCTCGATTTTAGACAGGATCTAAAATCTAGTGCAAATAAGTTAAAGTATAATTATTAAACTCTGAAAATACTGCACTATGGATTTTATTTTAAAGTATAGGAACCCCATCACACATACCTGCAATAAAACAATCATACATAAAATCTCCAAGGAAATACATCTGCATCCGTAGTAGTTGGCTAAATTATAGTACATCCATTTGTACATCAAATAGCACTGGTTATTGTTATATAAAATGCCGCATTATTAAAGCTTATTTAAGAGGACACAGTACGGTTCAATCGTCAGAAATCGGTCAAAAAATCATATCTTACTTTTTAAATCTAAATTATTTTTTATATACTTTTCTCTATAGCCTCACAAAATTTGAAAGCTCTAAACTTAAAAAACGCAGAATTATGATAGCTTTACGTTTGTTTTTATTCACATCCCTATGGCAAATCAAAACTTTAAACGTACTTATCTCAAAAAGATAAAATAACTATTCTGTCTTCATTTAAAATACTAATTTTTTTTATTGTTCCTAATGCTTTGAATTTTTTTTACCAATTGCTAATAGTACACATAACAAAAGTTGCTATGCATTTTTGAATCAAAGCATTACTTACTTTTTAAAAAATAATTAAACTCAGAATTTATACATTTTTTTTAAAGAATTTTTAATAAGCATTCATATAAAGAAGTATTGTACAAGTACCAATCACGTTATCACAAAACCCATACCAATTTTTGCTATACATAGTTTGAGGTATTTGTAAATCGAATTTCATGCGTGTACGTAAGTTTTTGTAGGAGGAGTAGCATTTTAAAATCACTTCACAAATTTTGTTTTTTCCTTAAAAAATTAAATAACTAGGTTTTTATAAATTTTTTAGCACAAAAATGATTTTACATAGCATACATACATAGGAGACAACCAAAAAATGTTTTGAAAATCCTTAAATTAAAAAATTTTTTGCAAATTGTGGCATGTCCCCTTAATAATTAAATGTACTTCGACTAAATACTTGAATAGACTTGAAAGAAGTAGTGGATTTATAGATGCGAACTCTTTTCCAGTAAGTTGTCGTTCTAAAACTTCAATCCTTTGTTTTGAATGATAATGAAAATTTTATTATTGTAGATTGTGCTAACTTACACGCTCAGAAAGCCTCTACCTCTGATTCTAATATTTAAAAAAAAAATTAATAATATTTAACATAATGACAGAGATAGTGCTTAGGATACAGGGAGAAAACAATTCCACAAAATTAAAAATAATTTTGGATATATTGGGATTTTTGAGTGAAATTTTAGTGAAAAATTTCAGTTACGGTAAGGCTTGTATTGAAAATTCTAATTACTATATTTGAGAATAATATTTATACAGATCATTAATAACATCCTTATTTATAATTGAAACTATAAGATTTGTAATATTTTGAAAGTTTTTGAAATATGTCATTTTTTATGCAAGAACTCAATTTTTTACAAGAAACTAATGTTATTTTCTCACAAAAAGTGAAATAAAATACATAAATATATACACAGAGATTAGATAATAGTCTAGACTGGAGATAAAATTAAGTAAAACAGTTTCTGCAAAATTTCAATTCAATATATTAAAAAGAAAACCTTTAGTGAACTTTACCTTGAAGCAAGAAATTGAAAAACATAGTTTTCCAGAAAATGCCTTTAAAGATTTTAATACAGTATAAAAATTTCTAACTGTACATTTTTTAAATTCCCCATATTTATAGGTCAAAACTTTTTTAGCTTCATGCTTAACTAATTTGGACTTTTTTTTTAACTTTTTGATGTTTTCTGGAGAGTTTTATAGACTATAACAATTGTCATTTTTAGTGAAATTTTGATGAAACATGGCAGTTACACAAAATTCTAATAAATGTATTCAAATAATATTTACACAATACATGTATTATATTTTTATATGTGTTAGAAATTAAAAGATTTGTGATACTTTTGAAAGTTTTTTAAGTATGCCAAATTTTATTCAAAAACGCGATTTTTTAAAAAAATTAATTTTTTTTTTCATAAAAAAGCAATAAAGTACATAAATATATACACAGAGATTAGATTTTGATTCATAACACAGATAGAACTAAATAAAAAGGTTCTGAAAATTTCTATACTATATCTTAAAAATATTTTGCTTAGGGATCTACTTCCGGTTTTGTAAATTTCATTTCCGATTTACTAATTATGCTATAACTTTGCTTCTAGATATAGTAGAAACAAAAATAAAATGTTTTTGGAATCTTAAACGTATGGGCTATCTTAAACGTATGGTAGTCACATACCTTATGATTAGTTTCTGTCAATTAATTTTAATTAATAATAATTAAATTGTCGTATTGTCACCCCAAACAATCGTGTATAGGAAATTTCAGCTCAAATGAATGAAAAATGTGAGAAAAAAACCTTTTAAAATTTTGACACGAGTCGCCAAAGTGGTCACTAAGTCCCCAAAACCATGCCAATGTGGCTGTATTTGTAATTTTTTGAATAATTAGTTTTAATCAATTAATTTTTATTAATTATTACCGTATTCTCATCCAAAATAATCACGTATAAAAAACTTTAGTTCAATTGAGCGTTTTAAAATGTATTTTATTAACGATTGAAAATTTGAACAAGATACAGGGAGTTGGTTAATTAATAGTAGTAATTGAAAAAAAAAAGAAAAGAGAAATGTATGCTTTCTGTATTTAATTACATAAAAGTTATGTTAAATAAGGCCATTAATTTTTTATCCCAAAGTTTCTAATACTTTTTATTTATACTAATGTTTTTATTTTCCTCATACAAATTTCTACATGACGGTGCGACTTTTAAATCTTTTGAGTATCTTAAAATATAATGTAAGTAATTTAATCTGCTAAAATATATCCTCAAATATTTAAATAAATTTCACGTGAATTGTCAGATGTGCGAAACGAGTAAAAATAACATATTTCTTATTGACAAATACGAATTTCAATATCACATCACATAACATATGTAATCTTATAAATAATTTGGAAGCAAACGTTACATTCATTTGCATATACAGCACAAAAATATCTCCTATATGTGCCTTTTATCTTCTTTCAGAAATAGAAACGTGATATTTTTATCGTGGTTATTGGACTTGCAAACTTCTATAATAAAGTATATGTATCTTTTCCGTTGTTCTATAAGGAAAAATATTTATTTTATATGTTCTTTAGTTGAATCATTTTAAAAATAAGCATTGAAAGGAATAAATAACTAACACCATACCGAGCGAGAAGGTTTCAATGTTTTCTAGTATGTTTATAAATAAACAAGTTGCAAATGCCGTCGGTGTACTAAAATGGTATTTTGAATTGAAATCCGAATAGTTTTTCTCAGAAAATGCTATTTCATATATATTGAGGAATATGACTAAGAACACAAGGCCCATGTTTTTGTAATCTTTTTCGAAATATAAAATGAGCGAATAAATACCAACAATACATTGTTGCTTTTTATTCTTTGTTTATTTTCTTTGTTGTATTATAATTATTTTTGTATCAAAATCTGATGTAAAAAATTCGATGTATGATATTTTAAATAAATGTATTTTTTTGTAAAAAATATATGTTTAAGCATTTAAACCATTGGCTATCCAAAATACATCATGAACAAGGCATCCAAATCGATTAAAGTATTCAGTATGTGTACACCATGATGGGAAATGCAAATTATTAGATTTTATGAAAAACATTTTATGTAACTATGTATCGCCACCATCAAGTACTATACAAAGTAAGCAGTATCGAAATTGAAAAACTGAAGTACTGAAATTTCTTTTTTCGTGCGTTTGTTTTGTGAAGGAACTCTTTCATTATGATTCGAAGAAGAATACAAGTGACATTTGAAAACTTTCTGAAGAAGCAATGTTCCTAATAGCGAATGCGAATTATCCTTCCCAGAAAATAGTCATCATGTCAGATGTAACCAAGCGATACCGAAATGGTATTGATTGGTTACATCTGACGTTACATCCCTCGTTACATCCTCTGTAAATGAGGGGTGTAATAATAAAAATTTCCAAAAGCCATTGATTGCAACAGCTTCGTCACACCTCAGAAAACCTGCCACATCTGTTACCGTATCATATGAAAAGTAACCTGTGGCATAACAATTGGTGTATTGGCGTAATATTAGAGTTCATTTGCCGTACAGTAATATATCTGTAATATGTACATTTCTGTGATTATCTTTGTTTCCAAACCGCAAATATTTGCGTGTATTGAGTGGCGCACATGGAAAAATGAATGACACATCATTGTTTTTAAAGTCGAATGACACTTCAAAATCCATTGCTACGATGGTCGCATTGGAATATGGACACATATAAAAGATTTAGCATAATTGTAGAGATTTAGAATTTTGGCTTCCATCACATGTGGGTGTGCCTGGGAACGAAGCTGCTGATGAGCTGGCTGGTAGGGGTTGTGATCTCTCTAACCCCAGTTCCACTGTTTAACCCATTCGGAAATTCATTCCTTCCAAAGAAATAAAATGTATTTGACTTGGCGAAACCCTCCTGCTCACCACTGGTACGCAGCTAAGAGTCCTGGCCTATCTATAAAATGCAGGAGTTCCAGGGCTCATCAGACGGCCTTGGCGCGCTTTAGAAGC